CATCATCACTGGCTACGGGAGAAAGTCAGAGATAACGTGATTAAGCTGGTTTATTGTGGGTCTGAAGATATGTTAGCGGATCTATTAACTAAACCTCTGCATCCTGGTCCGTTTAATGAGTTCAAAGGAGAATAGGTATGAGGAGAGTTGATGAATGAGGATATCTTAATTATGTCGATTGAGGGGGGGTGTTGAAGTGTTCAATCGACGGGAACAAGAAGTTACACAAGTGCTACGAGGAAATACGAGTAAGAAGTAGTAAGAGGTATATTACACATGTTGGTATAAACGAAAATTAAGAATGACATCATTAATTGCCCCAATGAACAATTCTTTATAAGACTTGTTGCTCTATCCAATCAACTTCTCTTTCCCATCTTTGGGAAGAGAAGTAAGTGATATTTTATCTTTTCATCACATTATAAGTTTGTGATAGGACCAGGCTCTGGGGTGGTTTGGCACGGGATCAAGGGGTTCGGTCGATGATGCCTCTATTCCAATATGGCGATTGTCGGATGAGGAAAGAGAAGAAATGTACAACGTGTGATCTAGTGTACTACTTCTCAACCTGTGACATGTAAGTCATTCTCTGTCACGTATGGGATTATAACAGTATCCCCCATTTAATGCCCAGATTACCTCTTGCAAATCCTGCATTCTGCCCACGGGCAGCATTAAAAAACCCCGTAGGGAAAAAGCTTGCCCTCTTCATTTTCTCCGTCTCCTTTTGTGTCTTTTTTCTGCATCTGGAAATTTTTTATTGAATTCTTCTATTAAAATCTTGCTGTTTTGAAGGTTGCTTGACGGTTCCCATGAGTTGTGCTCTGTACTGAATCCTGTCCAACTTACTAAATACTCTCGACGTTTACCTTTCATTCTACAATCTAAGATCTCCGAGACTTCCCATTCCTCTTCTCCTTCTATGATAACTGGTGGTGGTGTTTGTTCTTGACGTTCATTTATCGTGTCGGGCTTGTGCTTTCTAAGTAATTAAACGTGAAATACCAGGTGGACACCCTTCATTGTTGCTGGTAGTGTTAGTCGGTATGTCGATGTTGAAATCCTAGCTTCTATGTTGAATGGGCCCAGCCACCGGTGGTCTAATTTCGGGCTTGGTCTTGTGGTTGATATGTTCTTGCTACTTAACCATACCTGTTCTCCTATTTTCCAATCAGGTGTACTACGTACTCCTTTATCAAATTGTAGTTTCATGGTTTCCTGTGCATTTTGCAACATTCTGTCAGTTCTCCTTGGACTTTTTCGATCAAGCTAAGCCGCTCCTCGACTAAAGGTATACACTGCTCTCCCGACGGTACTCTACCATAGTTTGGGTCGAAGCCGTAATTTGCTTTAAACGGAGAAGTTCCTGTCGATGTATGGCTATTGTTGTTGTATGCGAATTCTGCAGTTGGAAGCAGTGCCGCCCAATCATCTTGTCGATATTGAGTGAAGTGTCGCAGATATTGTTCAACGGCTTTATTGACAATTTCTGATTGTCCGTCGGTTCTTGGGTGAAACGCTGTTGATGGGTGAAGGCGTATTCCTAATCTGTTGTCGAGTTCTTGGGTAATTTGTGATACAAATATGCTACCTCGGTCAGATACTATGCTCTTAGGCGTGCCATGTAGCTTCCACACGTGATTAAGCATTAGGTCAGCTAACTCTGTTGAATTCATGGTCTCT